TACTAGAAACGGTATTTTCAATTCGCGCAACACTCATTTCTGGGCTGACGAAAATCCACACGTTGATAAAGTAACGCATTTTCAATAAAATTTCAAAGTGAACGTCTGGGCTGCGACTTTAGGAGACAAATTCGTTGGATACTACATGTTCCCAGGGTCTCTGAATGGTGCAATGTACCTCAACTTCTTAGAAAATGAGTTAGGTACGATATTAGAAGTCATTCCTCTCAACATACGTAGGGAAATCTGCTTTATGCATGATGAAGCACCACCTCATTATGTAAGAGTTGTACGTGAATGGCTCAATGATAATTTTCCTGATAGGTGGATAGGACGAGGCATAGACGCTCCTATTTCCTGGCCCGCTCGTTCGCCTGACCTCAATCCACTAGATTTTTCGATCTGGGGTTACATGAAATCGGAAATTCGGAATGTTGAGGAGCTGAGGCAAAAAATTGTGAACGAATTTACGTTGTTGAAAAATGATCACCAAACTATGAACGGTTTGATGAATAATTTACGTAAACGCCTCAGATTATGTATAACCCAAAAAGGTGGACATTTCGAACAGCTACTTTGATTTGTTTTTCTCCTTTTTTTCCATTCAAAATTATGTATTAATTAAAAGTACCAAAAACATTATCAAACTTTTATTTTTATTCAAACCTTGTTGGGACAGACTTATGCTATGTACTTATTGCTCAGTAACGTGGCACAGGGAGGTGATATTATGGACAAAATTGAAAACAAAATTGTGCATGGCCTGCTGAAATATCGTTATACCGATGAATCTCGCGATGAATAAAATCAATCTGCTGATATCATGTAACTACAAAAACTCAAATATCTCACGAACGGCTCAATTTTTTGTATTTGAATAAGAGTACCTTTTCCATGTAATTTTCTTCGCTCCATCAAATGCTTCTGTTTTTTCACCGAAAATAATACAGGGAAAAAAGTTTCCTACATAAAATCATGACTCACCCTCTGAAAACACCCTTTATAACAATATCAGAAATGTGGAAATGTGACAAAAAAATGTATTTTGACAACATACAGTCATGCACAAAATTTCAATCGGGTGGCTTTCATCGTTTAGAAGTTATGCGGAGAAATTATTTTAATTTTATCAACTTTGGAAGGATATATCTCCCTTAATATGCATTTTGGGCCATGAGTTTAATCATCAAACTACACTTATTTTTCAATGTTCTATCACCCCCAGAAAGCTCGTTACACATTTTTGACTCACCCTGTATAAATATACAGGGTGTTTCATAATTGAATGTCAATATTCGAGGAGGCGATTCTTGGGCTCATTCTAAGAAGAAAGTTTCATATGAACGTATGACCTAAACGTCCCAACTTTGGAGATACAGGGTGGTAAAATTCTCGAAAATTAATATAGCCTACTACAATGAGAAGTTATAATTCGAAAATACCAAATACGAATACAAAGTTCATGAACTATGAATTGTATTTCTGAAATTTGATCTTAAAAATAAAAACTATTTCTCTGCATTGTGATATTATCATATTAACAATATTACTATAATCATGTAGTGAAAAGCTTTTTATTTTTAAGCGAAAACCGTGCATCAGATTGAAAAAATTGTAGTGATCAAATTTGCTTAGAAATGATCGGGAATTTCAGGAATGATTTCAATTTGGAGATTAATCAGTGGCGTACCATCAATGTCTGCCAAAATAGGTATGTGAAATTCCATACGAACGCCACTGGTGGCAACAACAAAAAATGTGGTACGCTAACTGATGCCTCTTGATACATAGTACATGTATGCCAAATTTCATCAGAATATCTGAAGTGGTATTACAGATATTAATAAAAAACTATTAATTTTTGAGAACTTCACCACCCTGTATCTCAAAAGTTAGGATGTTTAGGTCATACGTTCATATGAAACTTTCTTCTTAGAATGGGCCCAAGAATTGCGTCCCCAAATATTGACATTCAATTATGAAACACCCTGTATAAGAAAGGCAATTTCTAATGTACAATCCTGAATGAACGTTATTATTATTATTATTTTTATTATTATTTGGAACACGTTCTGGCATTGACTCATCAACAACCTAAACGACTGAGTAACCTCCAACAGCAACGTACCAACCGGAGATTACCTAAACAATAACAGTACTTGAGATTTCAGATGAATATAGATTTGTGGATATTCCAGAGGGCAGTTGATGATCGGTATTGGTATAGTTGCTGCCGGTGGTGCGAACTGTCGATTTGTACAGTCGGTTAGCACGTTAATCAGTTTAGTTAAGTCTTTGTGCGTTCTACCCGACAACCCTCTCCGAAAATGGGTCTATCTATATTGTAAGGACTATTTGACTATTTTCCTCTTCTATACGATGATAATCTAATAGATGTATCTCTGTTTTTGTTGTGGTTTTTACTATTTCTCATACACCTCAACTATTAGTGTCCAGTGGTCTTATCCCATCAGGAAGCCAGAGATCGTGACAATATTCCCCATCTATAGTTGAATAGGTGACAGCTGCATGTGGAATTTTTATCGAATACATGTATTGAATACTATAATAATAATAATAATAAATAGTTTATTCACACAATTATACAATATTCAATAGATAACATATTAAGATTGTAGCATGTAAATTTTCATTACTGTATATTTTGTCTGATTCTATAATAGTCTGTAATGCTGAGCACATCTGACAGGATATTTTGTCACAATAACATGGTTAACATTTTTCAATAACATAAATTGAACTCAATCTGCTTCATATTATTTAATTATTCTCAAACCTGATATGTGGATACACACCTGAGATTTCACATTGTACATAAAATAAAAATACAATTTCTATAAATACACTGATCTCTTGCTATATCTGCTTTGTTGTGATCCAAGTAGAAGGATGATTCGGATGGTTTTTACAGGAACTTATCTGAAAGAGATAAATAATATAAAGTAATATGAAATACCATTTCAGAGACATTGTCATACTCACTTTTCACACTGCTATTTCCACTTGAATTTTCATCACAGTAGGACGATAGGTATTGGATTTTCCAGGAACGCTGATGCGGATAGTTTCACTAGGAATCGACCATGGTGAATCAATTAACTTCGTTGGGCATTATTTTCTTGATTGATGCATTTGATAAATTCAGGTTGATGTTTTGATCTTGTTGATCTGTTATTTCGCTTTACGTCAATTAGCTGTCGGTCATGACACCATGTCAACAGTGTCAAACTTGTCATGCGCCAAATGTCCTTAGATCATCATCGTCGAACCAACAAGCCGAGTATGCGTGAAGGAAGGTGTGACTTCATTTTGGTCATCAATTCTGATTGGTTCAGATAGACATCTGGGAAGAATCAAGTCTCTGGAGGGAGTAGCGATAACGTCTTTTATTTTGGATATTCAAATTTTCCGCCAATTTGAAAAACGGAAACTGTTAGGTTGTTCTCGAAGTTTCTGGAAATTTGAAGAAGGGATTGCCTTTCTGGTCGTGAGACAAGAGCTCACTTCAGAAAAATTCTTCGTGGTGGTCAAGTGCCATTTTTGTGGTGTGAACCGGCTTCTGAAGTCCTGTACCGCCTGGCGTTCTGGATCACATCAGGATATCCTGGATTTGCTGCTGATCTACAAGGACTGCTGGACTCTACAGATTTTTCTGGTTTTGGTTCAAGAGGCAGGATCTTCATGGTTCATCACCCAGGCAGCCACGTGCCTACCTACATCGTCATTTCAATCCCTAACCCTTCATAGAAGGGTTTTTTCACCGGGAGTTTTTACCGGGAGTTCTACAACGGGAGTTATCCTACCAGGAGCACTATTCTTCCCAGGAGTATAATTGCTCGACCAGGATCTGTCAATTCTACAAGGCCTTCAGTGGCTGTATGGTAGTCTGGAATCTGGATATCGTCCCCTGTTTGTTCCTGATATGATGGGTTTTCAAGGTGGAAATACGACAAGTCTGTCAATGTCATCTGACATCCAGGGATGTGAAGTCAGCACCCCGCTCTCCGCCAACCTTCCCCTCAGCAGCTTCATTTGGTAGCACTGAAGCCATTTATTGCTACTCTGGATAACTGGTGTAGGACACACCATACAGGTTTTTGATATAAAAATATATTTTTATTTTTCATTTTTATTCACTCATAATGCCCATTGCTAGTGTGTATAATGGACCATTTTTAAATCATAGCTAGGTCAAAAATTGATGAAATCACACATGAAAGGTACATACTTCCCCTCCACATAGTATACTATGCGCTGGTAGAATTCTTCCATTTAATATGTTTTTAAAATCTGCTATGACTATAAAACGTCCTTACAGGAGCTTTTGAATTTTCAAGTACAATTTAAGGTTGATTTATATTTATTTTCATCCACATAATAGCAGGCAACAACAGTGTATTTTCTTAACAGGAAATAAGTATCTAATATTTTTGATTATGCATATTTGTCAAAACCTGTGATGTGATATATGAGTCCTATCATCATAATTAAATGTTTTGGGTATTGTATATGACTGTTTTGTTTGTTTATTGACATGACACTCCAACTCACAACATCTCTAAGGTAAATTTAGGTCTTTTAGTCTGGGAGAACAACTAATATTATTCATTATCTGGTTGCTCAACTTTCCAGGTAACATTTCATTTGAATTAAAAGTTGCAGTGGCGCCCCATCTTTTTTGCTTAACCTTATGATTGCTAGATAACTGAATTTTTGCTATTTTGACTCATTTTGATAACTCGAACCCATAGTGCCTACTGACGAAGAGCTGCCGTTCGCAATGCACCTATTTTTCATAAAAGTAGGGCTGCAAGATTTCTAGTTCGCAACTAAACTATCTGCAAACCGAAAGTACGAAGTACTTGTAGGTTTTGTTGAGTGGATACATGTCATATTGCTTAAATCTTACTTCTAGAAGAACCCAGTTCTTGATTTATGTGGTATAGAGATTGAGCAGTTGACAATGTAAACATCAAAGAATGCGTAAGTAGTGCTAGGCGTGTGAAAATACAGTTAATATAATGTTCCTAGTAATAACAATAATAAGGACAATAATAATATTAAAATAAATGGACAACAATGATGCATAATATATGTGTATCCCCATATACAGTGTGTCCCACTTACCATGCTCACCATGGGTATCTTTTTAACGGTGAGAGATACGAGGTCGGTTGAATGACACCAAATGTGGAGTTTTTCAAGGCCAACTATAATGTGAAAAAATATTTCGATAAAATCTATTCGTTTTTGTTTTATACGCAAAAAACAGATTTTGATCATTTTCATGTCTCCTCCATAACTTCTTTATTTATGAAAATATTCAAATAGGAATTTCACATTCTCATGGCAGTTTTTCAAAGCGATTTCGAAAAAAATATGGAATTTATACCAACTCTTCTAGAATTTGAGATATCAGCACCAACTTTAGTTTTTCAAACAAAGGTCATAGCTCACTATGACTTAGTTACAAATAACTTTTTTTTCTCTTACAGATGATATGTCGCAGTAATAGTTTTGTGTTGATAACAACGGAGTTATCGTCATTTATACAAAAACAAAAAATTGTTTGGCCGACATCTTTAATTTATAAATTTTAATGAAAAAATTATGATCTCCGACCTCAAAAACCCCCACTTACCAATTTTGAATGGAATCGGACCAAATCTTGTCCGCCATCTTGGAGCAGTTGGAGCAGCCATTTTTTTTTATTTCAACAAAAATTCCATAATGTATTGTCACCGAAATTATGAACACCTGCCAAATTTCAAGTTAATCGAAGTTATGGAATTTTTGTTGAAATTAAAAAAAATGCCTGCTCCAAGATGGCGGACAAGATTTGGTCCGATTTCATTCACAATTGGTGAGTGGAGGTTTTTGAGGTCGGAGATTATGATTTTATTGTTAAAATTTATAAATTCAAGATGGGGGCTTCCAAACAATTTTTTGTTTTTGTATAAATGACGATAAATCCTTTGTTATCAACACAAAACTATAACTGCGACATATCATCTGTAAGAGAAAAAAAAGTTATTTGTAACTAAATCATACTGAGCTATGACCTACATTTGAAAAACTAAAGTTGGTGCTGATATCTCAAATTCTAAAAGAGTTGGTATAAATTTCATATTTTTTTCGGAATCACTTCAAAAAACTGCCATGAGAATGCGAAATTCCTATTTTAATATTTTCATAAATAAAGAAGTTACAGAGGAGACATGAAAATGATCAAAATCTGTTTTTTGCGTATAAAACAAAAACGAATAGATTTTATCAAACTATTTCTTCTCAATATAGTTGGCCTTGACAAACTCCACATTTGGTGTCATTTAACCTACCTCGTATCTCTCACCGTTAAAAAGATACCCATGGTGAGCATGGTAAGTGGGACACACTGTATACACATACATACACATATACACATATATAAATATATATATATATATATATATATATATATATATATATATTTATCCTCTTATCAATGTTGCGTCCATGTATTGACAATTTTCATTTAATCCTGCGTCCATCGCGATAGTGCGACCGTATATCGGACGCAAGATTACAATCCATGTTATTTTCCCGCCAATGCATTGAATTGTTGTACTGAGTCCCTCATTAATACCATCATGGGACGCGGAATCCATTCTCTTTAAATGGTTGCTCTATTGTTAGCCGTTTGGGAGATATGATGATTTTTTGGTATCAAAATCGGACGCAGCATTAATAAAAGTATAAGAGAATCGAATATTTTTACTTGGCACAAATGCCGTCAGAGGCGCTATCAAATATACATTATGTATATTAATTTTTCATCGTCTGATGGATGCTGCGACCATACATTTGGCAACACTGTATCTCAATAGAGCTGCAATTCTACATGAAGCTTTCTTTCTGATCATTCAATGGATGTATACGAGGATGTATATATATACAGGGTGCCCGTTTTTCGAGCTCCACCATGGGGATCTCAGTTATTATAAGAGATACGAGGTTGGTTAAATCAAGGCAAAGTTGCGCAATTTGATGCTGATCAAAATGCCGATTCAAAAAATTCGAAATTTCGAATACTTCCGAAGATATTTGGAAAAAACCGAATACCCGCGATTTCGTTTTTATTTTTTTCTGACTTCATTCGGAGTGATACTACAAAATGAGTGACATATTAGCATTGCCACTTTGTCTGCTCTATCCAATGGCATTAATAGATTCATGATCTAACGTTTCGTCTTCGAGGAGCCATCATCAACTTTGTATTTTCAAATGGTCGAAAAGAAAATGTTTGTTCCCAAAGAACTCTAATTCCGATTCTGAATCCAACGACATATAATACTTCAAAATTATCCGACGTTTCGAAACAAAAAATCAGTTATATTTAATAATGGTTATGACGACAACTTGTAGCGAAGGAAAAACGGCTATGAAAATGTCAAATTTATTTTGGTCTATATCTTTTAGTAAGATCAGAAAGAAATCATTTCATAGGATTAGAAACTTCGAGAATCGCTTTTTGTTGAAAACTCAAATAGAGAGACCAAGATGAATTCAACTTGTTGGTCTATCTCTATTTCAGTTTTCAATAAAAAGTGATTCTCGAAGTTTCTAATCCCAAGAAAAGATTTCTGATTTTACTAAAAAAGAGATAGACCAAAATGAATTTGACATTTCCATAGCCATTTTTCCTCCTCTACAAGTTGCTTTCATCAGATTTTTGATCCGACGTTTCGTTTCCTCGTAACCAACATCAAATAATACTGATGATGATTTTTTGGTTCGAAACGTCGGATGATTGTAAAGTATTATAGGTCGTTGGATTCAGAATCGGAATAAGAGTTCTTTGGGAACAGACATTTTTTTCGACCATTTGAAAATACAGAGTTGATGATGGCTTCTCGAAGACGAAACGTCGGATCAGGAATCTATTAATGCTATTGGATAGAACAGAGAAAGTGGCAATGCTAATATGTCACTCATTTTGTACTATCACTTCAAATAAAGTCGGAAAAAAATAAAAACGAAATCGCGGATATTCTGTTTTTTTTTTCAAATATCTTCGGAAGTATTCGGAATTTCCAAACTTTCGAAGCGGCATTTTGATCAGCATCAAATTGCACAACTTTGCCCTAATTCAACCAACTTCGTATCTCTTATAATAACTGAGATCCCCATGGTGGAGCTCGAAAAACGGGCACCCTGTATAGTTAGAATCCCATATGGCGGACGCCCCAAGATGGCGGAGTAACTTTTTTAACAACCTCATCGACATGGGTATCAAATTGAAGGGTTCGACGAGTGGAATGTGAGAATCCTAGTGATGTTTTCCTGAATACAATATGACAGACGCTCCAAGATGGCGACTCACCTTCTTCATCACAACCCCATCGACATGGGTATCAAATGAAAGGGTTTGAAAAGTGGAATACGATAAACTATGTGACGTCATTCCAAATCCAATATGGTCTATGAATATTCAGCCAATAAGTTTTTGAGCATTATAAATATTGTGTGGATTTTACCACGAATAGTGTGATTTGAATATAATACAAAATATAAATAGTTTCATTCGAAATCACAAGTTGATATTAACTTCGTGTTGATCGAAGAACTATTTCAGCAAATTCGGCTTCAAAAACATTTCAGAAATTGATTTCAATGCATGTCTGAATTTACTCATCAACGATCTTTCGATCCGATAGAGATGAATATTTCAAATTTGGGGAACTGTCGAATCGAATGACGCGAACTTATTCGATTGATGAAGATCAATCATATTCAGAAATTTTGGTAGAGTGATGCGGTTCTGGGAAGAAATTGATATTATCTGATAAGATCCTGTCCTAGATCTCTCCAAATGGATTTTCATCCAGAGATATCGATTAGGTATATGGAATATTCGAATTCGAAATTGTCGAACTGGTTGACGTGAACTTGGTACTCTTCTAGTTAAAAGTTGTTGATTATGGATGAAAATATATTACACGAAACAAACGTTTAAGAAACCACACATATATTCGATTGCACTAAAAAAGGTGGAATATTTTTTTCCTGGATATGGATAATGCGTAGAGCGCTCAATCATCGCTAGATATATTGCTACTTGTCGCCCCACGCTATCACTAATACTCTTCAGTTCCGTATAACCGAAATAATCAATTTCCTTTTTTCTGTGCATCTGAAAATGAGCGTGATTTATAGCAGAAAGTTTTTTTTTTCAGAATATTTCGTTTTTAAGTTTTTCAGTCTGTCGTCTCGTTATATTCTGATATAGATTTTCAATACAAATTTTGAATAGAATCGGTCCATATTCTCAAAACCTGTACGCTATTCTGATGCCGCCATCTTGAATTTTTCGATTTTGACATGAAAATCATAATCTCCGAACCTGACAACCCCCAGATTCTAATTTCGAATCAAATCTCTCCATAAACACAAAACTTGTCCGCAATATTGAAGCCGCCATCTTGAATTTTAGAATTTAACAAGAAAATCGAAATCTCCGATCACGAAAATTCCCAGATACCAATTTTGAATAGAATATAATAATTACAGAACTCGTGCGTCATAAAGGAGCCGCCATTTTTAGTTTTTCAATTTTGACAGGGAAAATCATAATCTTCGACCCCGAAAATCCCCACCCAGTAAACATTTTTGTGTTTCTGAAATGTTTCAGAAACGTAGTATTGATGCATGAAATATTGCATTCAAAGTTGCCTACATGTTCCAGAAACATTCCAGAAACTAGAGATGTCCGCCCTCAGGAATGTTTCATGGTAATGTTCCTAAATAATGTGTCGAATACGCAAATTGAAACATTTTGGAAACATTTCTACCATGATCATATCCTGTAGGAATGTTCCATGCAATATTTCATAAATATTTCTTTCGTTATATTACATGAAATGATTCAGAAATATTCGTGAAACCAAAGATATTTGCCCTCAAAACTGTTTCATGAATGATGTTTCGAATACAGATGCTTGAAACATTCTGGAAACATTCCCAATATGATTAGATCTTTAGGAATGTTTCTTGGTACATTCCATGAATATTTTTGAAACGATAAATTTTCGCCACCAGAGATGTTTCATAAATAATGTTTCAAATACATATATTTAGATTTAGAAACATCCTGGGAACATTCATTGTAGAACTTTCGGGAATGTTTCATGAAACATTTCATGAATGTTCTTCATTCAACAATATTACTGTTTATGAAACATTCCCATTGAATGTTTCAGAATGAAAAATACCTATCAATATCGCTGGAATATATTCATATTGTTGGTGAAATAAAAGATAATAGACATAAAAAAATGGATTTTATTGCTTATATAATGATATATGAAATAAGCAGTAAGCAGAAGTAAGCAAAAAGTATCAACAGATATTTCACATAATCACGACGTATTAGGTATGTACATATATATCAAGTAATTTAACATCGTTATTCACATGTTGAGTGCTTCAATATTTTATTTCGGTTACATCGCAATTGAAAGCACTATTCTTGTGCAGCTTCTGAGTCATGATGAAATTTTCACACTCCATCCTAGAACAAAAAGTATCATTATGAATATACCCATCATGATATCTAATATTTGATATTTCATCTGAAATTATGGTTTTTCTATATTTATACGTACCTCGGCCTTGTCCATGGAGCCGTTGAATACATTTCAAAGTCCAGCCACACCAGGGGATAATAAAAAAATGGAGTCGTTTGTGTTGTTTGTTTGGTTGCAAGTTTTGATGTTACTTCACATGGCCTAAATCACCTAAGAGATCTACCGGTACGATTAAATAGTAAACACTCGAAAATGTGTTTGACTTGAGTGAAATAATTATATTTTATCACTATTATAAGATTTTAGATGTCTTTTGCTTTGCTTGGCTTGAGACAACAATCGGAAAGCGAAGTTTTTACATTTGTAGTAGGTAAGTAATTCCTAATAAATGTGTAAAAATGTCAATGATTTGAGGAGCCTTGGAATTTTTCAAACATATTCCTAACGCATTGGAACATTCCTGACTCAGTATTGAATGATATGTTTCAATTGAAGTGATTTTGAAACGTCTCATTAATTAATCATTCAAGTAATTTTGGAATGTTTCGGAATATATCAATTAAAGTTGTCTTGAAATGTTTCAGAAATGTTGCAATGATATTGAAATATCCCTGAAATGTTCCTGATGAATGTTTCCATTATTCAGAATGAGAGTAATATCGAAATGTTCCAACCATTTGAAATTCAGGTGATTTTGAAATGTTCCTTAATCAACCAATTTCAGTTGTCTTTTGATATTGCAGTAGTTCGCAATAAGAGTATATTTGGAATGTTTCAAAATTTCTATAGTTTGATGAACCTTGAAATGTTCCATACATATTCCGAACGCATTGGAACATTCCTGAATAAGTAGAAAATGATATGTTCCAATTATTTATAATTGAAGAAATTTTGAAACGTTTCATTTATTAATTATCCAAGAAATATTGAAATGTTTCGGAATATATCAGTTGAAGTTGTCTTGAAATGTTTCAGAAATGATACAAAGATTTTGAAATATTCCTGAAAAATGTTTCCATCATTCAGAATGAGAGTCATATCGAAATGTTCCAATCATTTAAAATTCAGGTGATTTTGAAATGTTCCTCAATCAAGCAATTCAGGTTGTCTTGAAACATTGAAGTAATTCGCAATGAGAGTATATTTGAAATGTTTCAAAATCTCAATAGTTTGAGGTACCTTGATACGTTTAATACATATTTCGAACGCATTGAAACATTCCTGAATAAGTAGTAAATGATATGTTCCAATTATTCACTATCAAAGTTATTTTGAAATCTTTCATTCATTCACTTCTCAAGTAATTTCGAAATGTTTTGGAATATATCAATTACAGTTGTTTTGTAATATTTCAGGAATATTACAGTGATTTTGCAATATCCCTGGAATGTTCCTGAAAAATGTTTCTATCATTCAGAATGAGAGACATATTGAAATGTTCCAATCATTTGAAATTCAGGTGATTTTGAAATATTCCTCAATCAAGCCATTCAAGTTGTCTTGAAACATTGAAGTAATTCGCAATGAGAATATATTTGAAATGTTTCAAAATCTCAATAGTTTGAGGTACCTTGAAACGTTTCATACACATTTCGAACGCATTGAAACATTCCTGAATAAGTAGTAAATGATATGTTTCAATTATTCATAATCAAAGTTATCTTGGAATGTTTCATTCATTCACTTCACAAGTAATTTCGAAATTTTTCGAAATATATCAATTATAGTTGTTTTGAAATATTTCAGGAATGTTACAGTGATTTTGCAATATCTCTGGAATGTTCCTGAAAAATGTTTCAATCATTAACATTTTTGGTAATCTTGAAATATTTCATAAATGTCTCATGTTTACTGGGCCGATACCAATTTTGAATCAAATCGGATGAAAATTACCAAACTTGTCCGCCATCTTTGATTTTTCATTCTTGACAAAAGAATCATCATCTTCGACCCAGAAATCTCCCAGATATAGATTTTGAATAGAATTGGATCACAATTACAAAACCCGTCCGTCAAATTAAAGCTGCCATTCCAAATTCTCAAATTTCGACGAGATAATCATAATCTCAGACCCAAAAAAACCCCAGATACTAATTTCCAATAGAATCGGATCATAATTTCAAAACTCGTCCGCCATATTGAAGCCGCCATCTTGAATTCTTCAATTTTGACAGGATAATCATAATCTCCGACCAGAAAACCGCCAGATACCAATTTTAAATAGAATAGGATCATATCACAAAACTCGTTCGCCATATTGGAGCCGCCATTCTGAATCTTCTAATTGTGACAGGATTTTCATTATCTCCTATCCTGAAAACGCCCAGATAGCAATTTTGAATAGAATCGGATCATAATTACTTAACCCGTCCGCCATATTGGAGCCGCCTTCATGAGTTTTCCAATTTTTACACGGCAATCATAATCTCCAACCTCGAAAACCTCTAGAAACCAATTTTGAATGAAATCGGATCATAATCACGAAAACCGTCCGCCAAATTGGAACCGTCATTTCGATTCTTTCAATTTTGACAGCATAATCATAATCTCCAACCCTGAAAACCCCTAGATACCAATTTTTAATAGAATCGGATCAATATTACGAAACTTGTCCGCCAATATTGAAGCAGCCATTCTGAATTTTCCAATTTTGACAGTATCATCATAATCTCCAACCTCAAAAACCCCCAGATACCAATTTTGAATAGAATCGGATCATAATTACATATTTCATCCGCCATGTTGGAGCCGCCATCTTGCATATTTCAATTCTGACAGAAGAATCATAATCTCCGACCATAAAAACCCCCCTAATACCAAATTTGAAATGTTCAACCAAAATGATGCCATGCCGCCATCATTTTCAAAAATCAAATATTTGCAACTAGAAGAATAATTCACGTCATCGAATTATACATTCCTGAATTAAGAAGTGATATCTCGATGCATTGGAAAGTATAGACTGATTTCAGACAGGAACTGTGTATCTCATAGTTTATGCAGAAATAGCACTCTTGTCTAATTAAATCACTGATGAAATGGACGCATGATGCCCAGAATCATAAAATATGAATGTTTATTCTTGACGTCGATCTGGCAACAATGCGGTCGCAGCATTATTGAGGCATTGAAACATGATATACAAATTGGTTGCAGTAATAAACGAGAAATAAAAACGAGAATATACGCTGGAGTTTGAATTGATAGGACTGTGAAAGGAGTTGCTAATGATACAAAATGAAAGGAAAATGTATATATAAAAGTCGATTTGGAGGGAAATGAAATAGCAGGTCCTGTACAGAATTTCGCGGTCTTTAATATACTTCAGTCAGTTTTGTTCTAAGTGGCTCCCTTCTAGGGGACGCAACAAATTAGTTCCAGAGTCAGACGCAATATTGATAAGAGGATGTAAATATATATATATATATATATATATATATATATATATATATATATATATATATATATATACATATATATATACACACACTTTTTTTTAACTGAATGTCTTTAAGCAACTTTAGAGAGTGCTCGAAGAAAAGCTGTGTACCCAGAATTTTTCAGCACCTCCAATGAAATGGAAACAAGGGGAAGGGGAAAAAGAAAAAAGGTGAATGGAAATACAACTCCTCTCTCAGAAAGCAGTTTTGCAATTTCTGATGATACTATGACTCCCCCTCTATCACCGGATTTTGTAAAGACCCAGGAAAATACCCATCCAAGGTCTGCAGAACAGCAGCAAGCAGTCAAAAAGAATTCACCTAGCATAAGTAGGTTCAATATTGCATGTCCCAATATATCTATCTGTTTCAATGTTATATCTTTCATTTCATGAATAAGAAATACATTTTTTCGGTAAAATATCCACTAATGGGCCTTTTATTTGTGAATAACAATAATCGAAGGCCATTTCTGGTTTTTAGTGACACCTTGTATATTTTCTACAACTTCTAAATTCTATAACATATAAAACATCATTGGAAAAGCAATTCATACTTGATAGATAGTTTAAGTCATTTTTGTTCTCTTTCAGTTCTCAAATAAAAAGTATTTGAATAATAGATCATGAAAACTTGAAATTCTATATTTTGAAATGACCTCGATATGCTATTGGACTAGGTTTAATGGGACACTCCATGAACATGTACCCTAGCTCAACAATAATTTTATATTTCAGACACAGTTTTGAACCCAGAACAAAATATAGAAATATTGGACCAGGTTTAATGGGACACTTTATGAACATGTACCTGTTTGGGATTAAATGAAAGTGGACTGTATGTAATTCAATTTTGTAAAAAATGGGTTTATTAATTAACGTTTTAACAAGCTGTACGAACTCAGTCGCCGTACGCAATACAAGTGGCGACTCTCTCAGTCGTCGAACACAACCAACACGGAGTAGGTAAAATGAAGGGGCAACGCAATGCCGTATCATGAGGCGTTCTTGCCTGAACATACCGGCCGCCTTGAAAGTACTCCCTTTCAATAAAGAATACGGAATACAAAAAAAATTTAAACCAGATAAAAAGTAATATACAATGCGTTGAAAAATACTCAAACGTTCAACTGGATACATAATGAGTCAATCATCAATCGGTAGTGCACAAACTCGCGAAACAGCCCTTTTCACTACACGATCTTTCACCTTTACGCTTACTACTCTGGTGATGTTGTCGTCACCTGGATGCAACTGCACTATTATGCCTAGCTGCCAATTCAGCACAGGTAAGTTGTTATCCTTTACTAGAACTAAGGTGCCCACCTTGAAAAACTGCGACGAATGTTGTTTCCATTTAGTTCTGGACTGCAACTCAGAGATGTACTCCTTCTGCTAACGTGCCCAGAATTATTGGTAAATCGCTTGCAGCCTCTGGTACCGATTTAAGCGATTCTCTGGTTTGTCAGTCCAATTGTGTTCAGAAATAGACACTAGCGATCTCCCAAATAAAAAATGTCCTGCTGTCAATGCTGTGACGTCCTCAGAATCGGAGGATAGAGGGGATGAGGGTCTCGAATTTAAAACTGCCTCGACCTGAGCCAGTGCCGTCGGAAATTCCTAGAATGTTTAAGATGCATTCCCCATAACTCGTTTTGAATGGTACTTGCTACTCTTAATACCGGCTTCCCATATACCTCCAAACGAGGCAGATCTCGCAGGCATAAAGGCGCGTATTCACCTGAGCACGAACGGAAACGAGGCAAAGTGAGGCCGAACGAATGCCTCGTTCGTATTTTTGTTGATGGCGAAACGAAGCATCCGAGGCAACGAACGAGGCAGCGATCCACCCCGTGCGGCGCGGCATGCGAATTTCATAATCATCAGCAGTTGGGAAAAGTGTTGTTAAAAGAGTGTAAACCGATATGGCCGACGCAAAAGATTTGACAGTGGCCAGTGCTGCTTGTATAGTTATTGCTGGGCTATTACGAAAAAAAAAAAGGAAGAAACGTTGGTGGATGACATCCTTGTATCAAAATAGGGTGACATGTAGAGGACAGTCATTGTTAAACAGAATGGTGGAAGAGGAAGAAAATGGGCATTTTCGAAACTTTACCAGAATGTGTCCCACTGATTTCAACTTTTTATTAGAATCGATTCGTTCTGATATTTCTCGACAAGATACGAAATTTCGCAAAGCTGTGACCGCGGAGGAACGATTAGCTATAACTCTCAGATATTTAGCAACTGGTGATTCGTACACTAGCCTTCAGTACCTCTTCAATGTATCAAAGCAGCTAATATCGAAAATAATACCAGAAGTATGCAAGGCTTTGGTGAAGATCTTATCTAAATATGTTAAGGTATGTATTTTTCCCAAGCGTCAACTAGGTACTCATAAAAAATGTTATACACCAAATCATAAGAAAATCATAAAAAAACAACATTACACCCTGTATCTTACAAACTAAAAGCCGTATTCAACATCCCCTTCTAACTTTAAAAGCGCTTTTAAAATCTGTCTGTCCAATGTCAACTTCAAAAGATAAAAAGTGACAAATGTTAAAAGCATTTTTATTAGAGTTAAAATGGGACGTTGAATACGGTTCTAAGCATTTCTGGATCTATGTTATGAATTTTTTTTCTTCCTTTGGGATGTCGTTCAGTCGAGCGTTGTGGCATATTTTTTACAACACCCTGTAGTTCAGGCAAACTTATATTGAAAAACAACAGAAATGCAATGACAAAAAAGTTTATTTTATTTTAAACATTATCATCTTTTGGAAATATCAAATATTCTGCCAAGACAGAGAAGCCTGAGTTGTCCGCAGGTTGGCGACTTTCTGGATGATCTTGAGGTGATGGAAGGGGCGAAGCGGTGTAAGATGTTGATGGAGAGGATGTAACATAATAAGTTGAATTAGATACGGCAGAATCACATCGAGAAGATACATAAGATGAAGGTGTCGCATTTTGTAGCAGGTTGTGTTGCGAACACTGCGGACTTATTTATTGGTATTTGCAGTGGAGTAGGTTGCGAATGGAGTTGCGAAAGCATTTGCTGTGACATTGAAACTGGATGCATGTTCATTTCAGCACGAAAGAAAATACTATGAATTTCGTGCTGTAGCATTGTACGGGTTCTTTTATCAAACTGTCGCTATGTATTTGGCAAAAAGTGAGCTCTCATCATTTTCATTATAACTGGATTTTACTGTTTTTTGTAAAATATCAAAAGCTTCTTGTATTCGAGGATCCTCAGAGTTCTTTCTTTTTGTTACAACACGCTTGGGAGATATAAACTTTTTTTCTTTTGGGTTGATTATTTTTTTAATCAAAGCAATATTTCTTTCGACTTGGTCATCCTTAGTACTATTATCAGAATTCTTTTGCACGTCGTCTTCTGTTGATTCTGCCGTGTGTTCATTTTCTAAAACTTGTGAGTGGTCGGAATGCTCTGCATCCTCTGTAGACTCTTCTGCAGCAGTATGTTCTTCTGGATAATTCTAAAATAAAAATATGTTGTTTTAGACACCTTCAACAGTGGAAGAATGGAGAGAAATATCACAAACATTTGAAGAAAATTGGAATTTTCCTCACTGTTTGGGTGCTCTTGATGGGAAGCATATTGTGTTGCAAGCACCAATGAATAGTGGAAGCTCCTACTACAACTACAAGTCAAGCTTCAGTATTGTATTAATGGCTATCGTTGATGCTGACTACAAGTTTTTGTATGTGAACATTGGCTGCCAAGGAGGGGTTTCTGATGGTGGTGTTTTTAAGAACTGTCAGTTGTATAAAGACTTGGAAAGGAATAGGTTGAATTTCCCTCCGCCCTCAAATTTACCAGGCAGAAACGAACATGTACCGTTTGTTTTTGTAGCGGACGAAGCATTCGCCTTATCCGAAAATATCATGAAACCATACTCAGGGTTGCACCCAAAAGGATCTCGAGAACGTATTTTTAATTATCGACTGAGTAGAGCCCGCCGAGTTGTAGAAAATGCTTTCGGTATTATTTCTGCTGTATTTAGAGTTTTAAGAAAACCAATGCTATTGGAACCAGAAAAAGCAGAGCTCATAACAATGACTATAATTTGCTTACACAATTTTCTCAGAAAAAGCCACTTATCAAAAAATCTGTATACACCTGAAGGGACATTCGACAAGGAAGTACATGGGCAAGTCAGTCCTGGTTCTTGGAGGACTAACGGTCAATCTTTAACTCCCTTACGGAATGTACCGCGCAAATCATCGATTGCCATCAACAATATTCGAGCGGAATTTTCCGAATATTTTTCCTCTAATGGTTCTGTTTCTTGGCAAAATGATTATGCCTAATATATTTTTTTGCAGTTTTTTTTGAAACATTAATAGGGTTGAAAAGTATATCGATTTGGAGTAAAATGAAGATATTTTCCTAACTACGGTACAAAACTACAGGGGGTGATTCGTTAGGTCATTTTAAGACAAAAAGTTCCTATGAACATATGTCCAAAGATGCTTCGTTTCTGAGATACAGGGCGTGTAAACAAAAAAATTCAACACCCTGTCACTCAGAAAAGAAGCAACTCCGGACATATGTTCATAGGAACTTTTTTTTTTGAAACGACGTAATGAATCACCCCCTGTAGTTTCGTACCGTAGTTAGGAAACACGAGGGAAACAAACAAAAATATCAATTTTCGATATGTTATCCCCAGGAGCCACTCGTAAAAATATCTTCATTTTACTCCAAATCGATATACTTTTCAACCCTATTCGAGGCTTGTATGCGAAAATGGGGCACCTAAATCTGTCACTGGCTGACGGTCTTTAACTAATTTAGGAGATTATGTAGGTTTGTACAATTATAATACATCTATGCACTGTACAGATTGAAGAAAGGATACAACTACAATTATAGTTTCTTGCAAATTAAAATGCAATTATATAACAAAATCCACTTCTGTATGCCCAAAACAATAAAATATCCCCTAGATCACTAATAATTGCTGTAAGTATAAAAATATATGGGTCATTCTTGGCGAAATGGCAGAAAGTGGGTCACATATCATTTTCATTTCATCATGAACTCATTTCATGCATTTTTATGCATTAATGCCAAGAATACATTGTCTTTTCGATAAGCTCAGCAGGAAGGGATTATTTAAAAAATAATTGATAGTTTTTTCAGATCCACCGACTGTGAGGAGTCACATCCGTGGACGGTCACAACCACATCGCTCCAAATTCAAAATCCATTTTAAAAATAATTCAGGAGGATTCCTGCATCATTTTGTGTATCAATCAATTCCATGAATTCATTTCAATCGAATTTCGAAGTTGAATGAAGCATTGAGTTATATTTTCTTAGATTTTCCACTTTACATATCGCCGTCACCGAAATAGTCGTCACGTCCATGGACTAACTTGTTAAATTGTATAAATCGCCTGATTTATAGTTCCCAATGTCGCCGCTAGAGTGATGAACCCGCTAGAAACAACAGAATTGTCACCATGCTCGTTTGAGCTGATTGTACACCGGGTTTTTGGGAAATTTTGATAATCCCATTGAAATAGTAGTTTCGTCAAGCACTTTGTGTCATTTCCGTGGTTCAATAAAAAGGTAAGAGAATCTTAATATTTTCATAATACAAGCGATAATGAGACGGGATATTTGAATGAAGTTCAATAACCAAGCAGGCGTTTTCTAGCCTCAAAAATATAGTTTATGATCCGCCATATCCATAAAATACGTCATGTCCGTGGACACCACGTCCGTGGAGTATAGAAGTCCACGGACGTGAGTCCGTGGACAAATTGGTCACGGACGTGATTCCGTGGACAGCTATCCTCTTATACCTTTATGAAACACAGTTCTTTTCTATCGATGCAGGTTTCCCAATGGCCAAAACAAAGAAAAAGACAGATCGAGAATTAGATAAGAGAAGAGAAATCAAGAAATTGAGTATGAGACGAGCGAGAGAAAGGCTGAGAGAAGATCCAGTTAAATACGCAGAAGAAAAGAAGAAAGATAGAGAACGAAAAAAGCTGAGTAGACGCCCAGTACAAGATTTGAGTGAACGGGAACAGAGACGGATCAGAAAAAAATGGCGAGAGCGATCGAAGCGGTACAGAGATGGAAAAAGAAATGCTGAAAGAGCAAGAGTGTATGAAAATAACTTTTTGGAATCTATAACTCCACCAGACAGTCCTCAAACGATACAACAACCTCAACAACCTCTGGTAGAAGCGAATGGTCATAGAAATACTACTCCTCGAGAACGTGGAAAGAAAATAGCTAGAAAAAATCGAGACAGAATGAGAAATGAAATTGAAAATTTGAATAAGTTGGTGAAGTCCCTTCAGAAAACCGTAAATAAATATAAAAAACGAGCAAGCAGAGCGAAGCAAGAAAACGTTGCTTGTGCTTCTAGTCCAAGATCGAAAGTTGATCATATGATAAAAAAACAAACCGTGTCTTCAAAAGTCAGGAGGCAACTTCTGTTTGCAGAAGTTATAAGTGAGCAAGTGAGGAGGAACTTTTCTCGAGAGAAGAAAATGAAGAACAAGAGATATTTCCTATCTATGCTCAGTGGCGATATTATAAATAAATATAAGTTTATGACACGCATTGGGAGGTTGACGTCTGTGAAAGTGAATACATTTAAACAATCCAAGCCACTGACTGAACAAAGAATTCTAATTGCACAGAAAAAGGTGACAGTATTCTTGGAGAGGGATGAAAATAGCAGACTGACAGCAGGAAAGAAAGAGACTATAACCAGACAAAAAAATAAAAAACAGAGAAGATTGCTCAACGATACCCTTATCAATCTGCACAAAAAATTTGTTGCTTCTCATCCAGAACACAAAAAAATGAGTTACGCGACATTCAGTAAATTACGACCCTTTTGGATTTTGAAACCTAGTCACAGAGATAGAGACACGTGTTTATGCAAACAACATGCCAATATTTCACTGATCGTTCAGAGCTTGAAAAGCCATAAAATCATAAACGAATCCACAATAAATGAAGTCATCAAGACGTTATGCTGTGGAGATTCACCTCAAGAGAAATGTTTAGAGCGATCATGTTCTCTATGTATTGATCGGGTTCCTCATTTTAATGATTTCGATGAGCACGGAGTGATATCATATCAAACTTGGGCAATAAAAAAAGAAGAAGTATTCATTAAAGGGCAAAAAAAGGTATGTTCCAAAACTGTGAAAGAATCTATCACATGTTCTAAAATAGAAGTCGTCAATATTCTGAAAACTTCCTTGAAAAAATTCATGCAACACGTATGCAACATAAATCATCAATACAAAGCTTTAGACTACATCAGAAAAAATTTATCAGACACAGAAGTAATGTTACACATGGACTTTTCAGAAAATTATGTTCTCAAATATGCATCTGAGGTTCAAGCCTCACACTTTGGAGCTTCTAAAAAACAAATCAGCCTACACACATCAGTTTTTTATCATGCTAATGATATGATGAAACCTGTGTCATATGGAACATTTTCCAATTGTCTGAGGCATGATCCAGCAGCAATTTGCGCCCATCTGATACCTGTATTGAAGGATATGAAGCAGGTTGTTCCTAACTTGAAGACAATACATTTCGTCAGTGATGGACCAACGACCCAATATCGCAACAAAACAATGTTTCACCTAGCATCATCATATTTACCCAGAATAGTAGGCGCCATCAATATATTTTGGCATTTCAGTGAAGCTGGGCATGGAAAAGGAGCACCAGATGGAATAGGCGGATGTTTGAAAAGAAGTGCCGATGGATTAGTAGCCAGAGGCAAAGATCTACCTTGCCTAGAAATTTTGGTCCAGGAACTTAAGGAAGCTTGTAAGGGAATAAATGTATTGGTAGTTACTGAACAATCAATCTCAGAAATGGATAAGTATGTACCAAAACATATTCCAACGTTCAAAGGAACAATGAATACACACCAAATTGTATGGCATAGTGATCATCGGTCCAATGTATTCATAAGAAGACTGAGTTGTCTGAATTGTCTTACTTTCTGTGATCATTATGGTCTAGGAGAATTCAAATTGGATACTTCTAATGAAAATAGTTCGAGCAATGCTCCTATTGCTGGAATTTCTCATAATCAACGGTTGTCTCGGCGTTTGCATTATGAAGATGTCTACTCATCCGATGACAGTGACGACATACCTCTATCAAATATAAAAGGAAGTGCAATACGCATATTCAACGAGAATATGTTCGTTATTGTTAAATTGACAGGAAAAAAAATCACTCGTCATTATGTAGCTCGCATAATATCCGTTGATGAGGACAATGAATTTACCATAAATTATATGAAGAAAATTGGGAATAAATCGTTTCATTTCCCTGAAAAACAAGAAATTTCTGTCATAGACGAACCAGATATACAAATGGCTTTGAGTGATCCAGAATATAATGAGAAGAAAGAAGAATATGTTTTTTCTAATGACCTGAGTTCTTTCGTAAATCTATTTTGAAGTTTATAAACATGAATTTTTCTTGAAATACTCATATATATTTTGATCTTACAGTCCCTCATTTTTCAGATGTACGTTCATTAAATAATTTAAATAAATATTATTCATGCATTGGTATGTATCATTTCCGTGGACACACTATATCATGTCCGTGGACTACTGAATTGAGTTTTTCCCATTTTTTGACATAATAATTTTTTTTTATCGTGACCACTATGTGGAATTGATTAAGTGTTATTACTAAAACCTAATGCTCTGCTCAAACAATATTTCATGAGTAATTTTTCTTTCTTAAATTTCGATACCAAAATCTTCCACTTTTCTGAGAATGACCCATATAGCAAAAGAGTTTTGAGGTTATACTGTATATTTGAAAAATTTCATGTTTAATTTTCATGTCAAATTTCATTCTTTATGTTGAAAAGGGAAATAGAGACTAACGTTTGTCTTTCAGCCGCAGATGAATCCAGAACAGATTTTATGGATATTCTATTCATATTTTCGAACAAAAATCTTAATTCTTTATATTTGCTATGTTCTTGAGACAACAGTAAAGAACAGAGTGCGTTGAAGCTATCACTAGTCATAGGCCCTAATAACTAGTAAGCAGGTAGGTACTTACTGATATTGTATTCCGAAGCTCCTCTGGATCCTCCAGAAACTTTAAACTATCCCAAGCAAACCACTTAGAAACGTGAACGTCTTTGCGGCCTGAAATCATAGTATTTAGGTGCAAACCAGATGTTGCTTTATTTTTATACACTAATTTACCTTAGCCCAGGAACGGCGTCGTCAGAAGGGGGTGATAGTTGCGCTAAATGAGGTAGAAGATTTTTTTGTTTTATCTTGTATATGTTGTAGAAAAGGTAAAGAATCCAAGTTTTCGACCTTCCAACCCCTGGCAAAATTTCGTGGGGCGGGCGGGCCAAAAAAACCACAAAATTCTTGCACTTTTTTCAGTTTTTGGCCTAGAACTTGAAAATAACGCATCCTAGCAAAATATCACCCATTATCAAAATGAAAGAGCATTAAATTACGCGTCGAATGAGTATTTAAAAGTTGAAATTCCATCTAGGGGTATGGCGTAATCGGAAGTAGAAGTAGAAAAGTTGTAGAGCATGACATTTCACATTTATAGACTACCTAGCTTTCCAATTTTGGTCAATATCAAGCTTATACATACACCCAGATTAAGCTCATAATTATCCAGTTTTCTTGTCGGTCACAGTTCGTTTTCAACGAGTTTCAGTTTGCAGAAGTGTTTGTACCTCCTTTAGGTATAGAGTTATTTATAGATGTGGCCAACGCAGATGTGGGATACCAAAGGGATCCTACCTGAGACCCATCCTTAATTGATTCATCCCCCTTTGGAACGTGGTCTTCAGTGGCGGCTCCTCAGAGGAGGCAACGGAGGCTGAGCCTCCTCAAGAATTTCCATACATCAAATAATTCGATATACTTGTACAAAATATACACAGAAATATCTATGATTCGTTCATTTCATCGGTTTTATTTCCTGATATCAAAATAGCGTTTGTCACGGAACTACAGAATTTGAGTTGGCAACAATGCTTAAAAGTATTCAGAATAGAATCAAAGTTTGCGACTTGGCAACATCCAACGGAGGCAAGCCTCTGACCAATGAAATTTGCGACAGACCGAGATAGTGAGAGAGAGAGAGCACGTGTGAAATCTCAGGTTTTATTTTATTTCAGTTGTGAGATTGACTAGTCCGAAATGAGTTCTCCCCAACGTAGGGAGGTGTGTTTCATATGCCAAGGTAGTTTGATAGATGGTGATGTGGTTACAGTGCGACAAAAAGGCGTGAAAACTCTAATAAGCTCTAGTGTTCAAAGGAAAAACAACGAGCATCGTCGTTATTTAACTAATTTGAGTGAAGTTAAAGTGCACAGTGCTTGCCAGAAGCATTACAATAATCCGAAATTGATTTCTTCGTATCTGAAAAGAGCCTCCGAACCATCAACGTCAACACGTAGGTCGAATGTATTTGATTTGAGAAAACACTGCTTTTATTGTGGGAAAGAAGCTGATGATAATTGGGAGGAAAACCTTCGCAGACTTCCCTATGCCAAGCGAAATTTAATTCATAAAGTGATGAAGCTTGAACTAAGAGATAGCGTTATTGAGGTTGCTCGAAGGAGAGGTGACAACTGGGCAAGTGAAGTATGGCAACGTATCAGTGACGAAGATCTTTGTGCAAGAGATGCGTGGTATCACAGATTTTGTCAGAGGGATTTTTACCGGCCAGTCAGGAGCGGAGGAGAAAAGGGACGTCCTCTATCGAAAGATGTTGACGAAGCAATGGAAATGATTTTTTCCTATATAGAAAACAATCCAGAGGAATGCCAATTCTCTTTAGAGGAACTGATGAACCAGATTACGACTGAAAACGTTCCACAGGCTAGGACAGTGAAAACCCGACTCTTGGAGAAATACGATGAAGACATTTTGATAGTTGAAACTAAAAAGAAGAAGACAGTAGTTTGTTTTAAAAATACTGGCTATAAAATATTGAGTGATAGTTTCTATCAGAGCAGGCTGTTAGATCCAAGAGAAGAGCGCCTCAGAATCGTAAGTGCTGCTGCAGATATCATTCGAGAGGACATCCGATCACAGGTCTATGAGATATCGCAATATCCCCCACCTGATGATTTCTTGAAGGATGTCGAATCGGTGATCCCTGAATCATTGCTCCATTTCTTTGAGTCATTGATTCTGAAAAATAAACGAGGGACACTGGAAAAATGGAAAAAAAGGTGTGTGGCATTGTCACATGCAGTGATTTCTGCAGTGAGACCACGATCGTTTCTATCATCTCTTTTAATAGGGCTAAGCACGTTCATATATAAACGATTTGGTTCAAGACTTCTTGTTGACGCTCTCAGCGCAATTGGATTTGTGGCTACGTATGCTGAAACTACCCTACTTGAGATGTCATCGATAGTACGACCTGAGCAACCTAGGGTAACCACTGATGGATTCCTCCAATTCATTTTTGACAACGCGGATTTCAATATTAACACCATTGACGGATTGAATACTTTCCACTCTATGGGAGGAATCATGGTCGTCACTCCTCACTCGGCCATCGAGTCAGAAAGAAACATTGATCGGCAAGTGAGGATGTCATCTTCTGATGTGTTGACCTCAGTTGGTGTACCTCAATTGACCACCTTCCACAGGACAGATAATGGTGGTTTAAATACCATAATTATGAAGGACCTCAATCTCAATGACCCAGTGGCCTTGGAAGTGACTCTCTCTGGCTGTGAGATTTTGTGGCTTTACGGAAAGTGGACGAAACGTGCCGATGTGCCAGGATGGGGTGGATACATGGAAGAAGCAACCAATCACGGACAATCTCCTACTTCAAAGATATTGTGTCTCCCATTCTTGAACTACCCTCCCACTTTATACGACACAATATATACATCGCTGCTAACGGCATCTAAAAAATGTGTGGAACTTGGACAACAGTCGTGCTTTGTCACATTTGACCAGCCATTGTATGTGAAGGCAAAGGATATAGTGAGCAGTGATGACAGTGATTTAAAAAATGTCATTGTACGATTAGGTGGATTCCACCTTCTCATGTCCTTCATGGGCTGCATCGGCGTGATAATGGCAGGAAGCGGCTTGAGAGACTTACTTTCCATTATATTCGCCGAGAACAGTTTGGATAAAATATTGAGTGGACATGCATATGCTCGAGCAGTGAGAGCTCATATGCTAGTCCACATGGTGTTGTCATTTTACATATTTCAGGAGATTGAGTTCACGGATGGTGAAAAAGAAGTTATGGAAGAATTGCTGCTTTTTGAAAACAGACCATCAGTACTCACATGTCACGAAAACAAAATTTATAAGCATGTGATGATCAAGTTTAACAAAGCGCTTCACACCATTGCAGGTAGAGGACCAACTGCAAAACTATGGACTCAGTATTTCTACATGGTGACAATTATGAAGCAGTTCATTGAGGCAGAGCGGATGGGCAACTGGCTTCTGCATTTGGATACCATTAAAAAAATGCTTCCTTACTTTCATTCTGCTGGCCATTTTCAATATGCTAAAAGTGCTCACCTTTACTTGCAAGAAATGCTCACATTGGAAGAGCAAATGGATCCAACAGAATTCAAAAAATTCACAACAGAGGGCTTTTTCACCATCAGGCGCAGTGACAAATTTTGGTGTGGAGTCTGGTCAGATATGACCATCGAACAGACACTAATGAAGACAATGAAAGTAAAAGGCGGTTTAACTCACGGGCGTGGGTTTTCAGACTCAGTTCTTACAAAGTGGACTTCAGGGATGGCAACTCTGCATGATGTTTGTCAGAGGATTGAAGAATTCTGTGATATATCAACAGGTACAAGTGAGCAACACGTAGACTTGAGACCTTCACGCAGAGATCGAAATGCAGCAGACAGTGAGAAACTGAATAATTGGCTATTGCAACACCCCCCATTTCCACCATGTAATGTTCTCATGTCAGTGAGCAGTGGAGTAATTGGTGGTCCTGAAGTTAACTGTCATTTGTCTGTAGAAGTTGGAAGTATGGGGATTGCCAAAATTATGGGACAGGACTTCAAAAACGTATCATTCAAACGCAAAGATAAGGTTGTTACACTTGCATCCTGCACTGCTCTGAAGATAGGGGGAAAGACGATAGCTACTATCAACCCGTTAACACTGTTTCATAGACTGTGCGTTGTGAAACAATCCGATGAAGATTTGAAATACTGTTTCTCATTTGAACTTGCTCCATACCCCATGTCTATGTTCACGGAAGAAGGTCTCCGTAAGGGTACAAAGTCTTCGCTGTATGATGCATTCACACCTCTCCAAAATGCTACACCCTCTATAAAAAGTTTTGTTGTCGATGGTGGATACCTTCTGCATAAGGTTGTTTGGTCCCGTAATGAAAAATTTGGATCTATCTGCAGAAAGTATGAAACCTACTTGAGAAAACACTATCAAGCCGATATCACGGTTATATTCGACGGATACCCAAGTGATGCTTCGGAGAGGGGAACAAAGTCTTCTGAAAGGTCTCGTCGATTGAAGACATCTGGTTCATCAGCAGATATCATTTTCAATGAAGACACAGATGCTGCAGTGTCCCAGGAAAAGTTTCTTGCGAATGAGGGTAACAAAAATCGTTTAATTTTTATGCTTATGCATAAATTCAAGGAAGGAGGTCTCTCAGTCCAACAGGCAGAGGAAGATGCAGATTTATTAATTGTAGAAACAGCTATTTCCCAAGCAGCAAAATCCGTATGTGTGGCTATTGTGAGTGAGGACATTGACGTTCTTGTTCTCTTAACCGACCTTGGGAAAGAGTACCAGAACTTGTACTTCCACAAACCAGGAAAAGGCAAAAAATCAGCTTCATGGTATTCCAGCACTTCCTTCTGCTTTGATCCCACTCACGTCCTCTTCATCCACGCCTTTACTGGATGTGATGTCACATCATCATTTTTTGGTCATGGGAAAGGGAAATTGCCAACCCTCCTCGAGCAACATCCTAAACTGAAAGAGCAAGCAGCTGCATTCCTCAAACCCTCAGTCTCTCAAGACGAGATAGCACAGGCAGGGGAACAGCTGATCATGTCTCTATATGGAAAAATGGACAGTGGGACTCTCGATGAGCTGAGATACGAGCTCTTCGTCAAATCTGCATCAAAAAAGTCGTTCAACCTAGCACGGCTACCACCTACATCAGATGCAGCAAGATGGCACTCAATGCGAGTATACCAGCAGGTGCAAACTTGGCTGGGGTGTCCAATAAGCCCATGCCAATGGGGTTGGAGAAAACTTCCATCCGGCTTAGTACCTATTCAAACTACTAAAGATGCTGCTCCCGACATGTTACTAAAAATGATTTCTTGTACTTGCAAAATCTGGCCTCAACTGCTCTTCTGCATGCAAGCATTGCTCCGGCCTCTCCTGCGAAAATGCTCCTGAGATGGAGTTGGGAGAAGACGAGGACGAAGAGTTTTCCGAGTCAGAAGAAATTTCCGATGCTGCTGCAATGGACCACGAAGTGAGGATGCCAGACACGGACATTGCAGAGCCCCAGCCCAAACGATTTCGCCTATAAATGGCAATTATTCCCATTTTTCCATGTACTTGAAATGTCATGCTCTAAAACTATCTTCACAATACAACTATTGATTATCATAACTAAATTTTTATTTCGTGGATTTTTTCATTTAGGTACCCGTTTCAGAGCTGGGGACGTGATAAAGGTCACTTGGTGTGAATTTCTTCAGAGTTGGTAAAAATTGTCGTTTTTCTACTTCCGATTACGCCATACCCCTAGATGGAATTTCAACTTTTAAATACTCATTCGACGCGTAATTTGATGCTCTTTCATTTTGATAATGGGTGATATTTTGCTAGGATGCGTTATTTTCAAGTTCTAGGCCAAAAACTGAAAAAAGTGCAAGAATTTTGTGGTTTTTTTGGCCCCACGAAATTTTGCCAGGGGTTGGGAGGTCGAAAACTTGGATTCTTTACCTTCTCTATAATATATACAAGATAAAACAAAAAAATCTTCTACCTCATTTAGCGCATCTATATATTACCCCGTTGCTGGACTACCTGTACCAGTCCTCATACTGGTTAGCATACGGGTCTTTTCCCTGCGCCGCGAACCTCTCAGACTCTCAATTTTCTTTTTCAGCACTGCAATGTCCTCTTCAAATATGGATGCGATTTCTCGCCAGGCATCCTGTTTTTTGATGATATTATAATACAATTTATCATTTTTTCTCCATAAAATAGGCCGCCTTTCATACTCTTTTATGAAACTTAACGTTTTTTCATTATCCCAGCTCATTTTTTATCAACATGTACACTGTACAATACGACTGGACAGACTAGGTAGATACAATTAATAAATAAAAATAATACACCAATTCTGTTGCGAGGCGAGGCGAGGCAACTGAAGGCACCAATGCCGTCCACATATATTCAAATTTTTCTTTGAAGTACCGACACCGATCGGATGGCATTCGAACTGCTTCGGACCGCGCACCGCACCGTTTTCCGCGCCTCGTTGTGACGTACACACTACGCACGCTCGTTCGGCCTCACTTTGCCTCGTTCCCGTTCGTGCTCAGGTGAATACGCGCCTTAAGGATTCGATTTCTCACTCATATTCATCTCAAGCTTACGGATTGCATCTCCGCCCTTTCGCCCAATCACTGATTACTAATGCGCCCCTATGGTGAAAATCTATTTATCTCTCATTCCTGAGATTTTCGAATTGAATTACGCACAAAAAAAGACAAAGTATGGAGTCCAGGAATAATAAGACAACAAATAAATTCAAGATCTTTTACCATCAACACAGACAGCCAAGATCTAAGGAGAATATAAAACCAGTCAAAGAAAAAGGACTAAGAGTAGAAACACAAACGGCACAAACAAAAGTGACACTCTGACGTGAGATGTACTGAGTGCTTCTAACATCATAATATTAATCATATAACATTTGTCATAAAAAAATGACAGTTATTTTCATTTCAATCGCCACTTTCGCACCGTTCCGTATCATAGTTACCTGCGGACAAAAAATACCTGCCTCAAAAAATGTAATGGTAGTCGATTTTTCATTCGGAAATAAGTACGTAAATAGAACATTTTTTTGTGGAGGTCAACGAAAAACAAAAACGTAGAACAGAAGATTACTGCCATTGACTCAACCCTCAATTCTTAATCACCCATGACCTCCTATTTTGTTATTATCAGTCATTACCAATACTGTTGACATTCTTAGAGTTCAGTTAATTGCCTACTTAATCTCACCCGAATGAAATGTTATTCTCTGAAAAAAATATTTCTAGACGTCTGAAGAAGTAGTTTCATGATAATAATTATAATAATAATTTTTTCTCAGGTATCAAAAATGAAGAGAATGAAACTCACGATCACCTTGGTAAGTCACTAATTCACTTGAAACTTGTTCCAACCATATGGCATTCATGTATTACTATGGATTGGAATTACTCCAACTATGGAATCATGAGCTCAACATATGAAGATTTAACCCAAATCTACTAGACATGTGTGCCTGAATGGATAGGTATTGATTTTGTTATACTTAATAGGTATATTCTTGCCATTTTTGGGGTTTTGTTTGATATCCTAAAAGATCATGAAGTTGAATCTTCATAATGGATCGCGAAAGCTATGCTTCACAAAAACTCAGACGTTTATTCCGAGCGAAAAGCTACTTCACACCTCTTAGATTCCATCTAGAGACGATGATCAATTCATCTGGTTGGTGATGCCACACTGACTGATTCCTTTATCATTGCAATACCTTAGGAAAGTAGACGACTTATCAATTTTCGGTTTATACTTTCACGGGAAAATTTATTCAGAAATCTCGACTATCGTTTCATCGCTATAGCAATACCAGTCAGGCAAACTCGACGCACCTCTTTTCATCGTCAACCTTCCAAATATGTCGAACAACCCTTTACCAGAATTTGTTCGTCTATTTACCGACAAATAAGCTCTCGATTCCTTTACCAGAGGCAGTATTCCCAAAAACTCAAGACCACCGGGGTTTTCCTTTCATGCACCATCCAGCACAACAATTCCAACTCGTCTCATGTGGCATTACAATTCGGTCGACTGGGAAGATCTTCGTATGTTTTTTTCAGCGTCTCCATGGAAGATAGTTTGCTTCTCCTCAGCAGATCCAACACAATGTGCTGAGACAATTTCTGAAATCATCATGTTGGGGACGCAAACCTACATACCAAACACTGCAAGGAGGACAACTTCCGATAAAGCCTGGTTCAGTAGAAACTGCTCTAGAGCATTCGCTTCCAAACAGGCAGCATTTCATCGATGGCAGAAAACTCCAGACCCTGAGACTAGAGCAGAATATGTCGAGGCTAGAGGCATATGCAATGAGACAATTCGATCATCAAAAGATGCTCATAATGACAAAATAAGATCGAAGCTTGTGGAATGTCCTAACGGATCCCGTTCATTTTGGTCCTTCGCCAAAGCTGTAGGAAGAAACTTTACTTCCAGCTCATTCCCTCCTCTAACCAAGGAAGATGGAACACTAGCCACAACTGCCCAGGAGGAAGTCAAAATTTTTCGCTGGAAATTCCACTCTAGATTCATCGGGAAAACAACTCCCAAACATAACGCCAATTGACAGTCATATGCCCGAAATCACCATTCGCCAACGTACATCAAGGAAGATTTTAATGGGTCTCAACAACAACAAAGCTTGTGGCTCCGACGGAATCCCACCGATTGTTCTCAAGAAATGTACTTTCGAACTAACACCTGTTCTCTGCAAGTTGTTCAACTGTAGCCTACTTTTCTCAACCTCCAAATAATTACCACAGAATATAAGAAAATAAGTTACATGTATGCAGACGGCAGCTTTTCATCGGAGAACAGATAAGTGAATTCGCGTTAGAATTAAATGCCCATCAAATCAAGTTTTTTTTAAGGGCGCCACTCAATTTATTTGAAAAGTTGATAATACTTGGGAAACTGAGAAAGCCAAATATTTACACCTAAATATGTATAAAAAATTCTCTTAGATTGCTGGGACAGACAAGTACATGAATGAAACCAAAAATATCTTCAAAACCTATTTATTACACCCAAATGGACAAGGCACATGTCAATCGCTGTAGAGGCCTTAGAACTTGCAATTAATACACTAAGATAATTACTCAATACTCAAATAAGAAATGAGACAAGAAATCATCATGATCCACCAGTAAAACGGGATAGTATAAAAATTACAAGGTCTGAAATGCTATGTAAAATGAATTAATATACTAAGATAATTACTCAAAACTCAAATAAGAAATGAGACAAGAAATCATCATAATCCAACAGTAACACGGGATAGTATAAAAATTCAGTTTGATATGGTGTAAAAAGAAATATGAAAAATGACAACCGCTGTCACATGGTACCATGGGAAAGCTTCACAAAAGCCTTCATTTTCATATGATGGTGAATGATGAAATTTATAAAAAACTAAACATGAAAACAGGTGAAAAATTCAGTTTTTCATAAAAACCTGGCGTGGTCCTCTCCAGTGATTCAGATCACCCCGATCACAGTCCACTGGGTGCAAAGGTGAGCAGCATAGGTCACTGCGACAAACACAAACGAAAAGGTGGCCCTCCGCTGAACTGGTGGGCTAAGCTCCGCTGTCTCTCCTCCTGGTATTCCTCCTGGCGTTACAACGAAGTATAGCTCAGCAGCTCAGCATACGGTGCTGCGCCTGGAGTCCAGAGTACTCCTGGTCTCCACTGGTCAAAATCCCCGAACAAGATGGTCAGATCGTCCTATGGGAGATCTTGACGAGGGAAAGGTGGTGTCCTCAATGGAAACTAGACACAAACAGCCTCCATCCGGTCGTTTCACGACCCTACGATCATATACCGAGGAGTATGGTCTCCTACGACCCTATTGAAAAAAATAGGCTCACTTAACATCCTGTACATCTCCTACCACGTGGATCACAAAAAGAAAAAATACAGCCAGAATGGCGAGACATACCAATTCAGAAAATAAAATCATGCCAGTTTAAACTGCTTACCTTCTGCGAAGGGTCGAACCAGCACCAAAAAATTGGGGGGCCATGCTGTAGGGCTCCCAGGTGGCAACGGACAATCTCTCAATGATTACACAAAAATGACTTGGCTATTGGCCTTAGAGCTTGTGAAACACTCGAAAATACAAATCCCCAAAATGGGTTTGACTAAAAAGCCAAATTTATAGTGCTTACTGCCGGACCAACAAAACCTTCAGCCTTCTTCTATCATGGCCGCTGAGAAAAAGCCACAAGGCCGGAAGTTTCTCCAACTCCAAAACCCCTCCTTTTTCCCTAACTTCATCCAAAAATCCCTGGTACCATTTTTGCCAACACAATACGTAGAAGGTCACACACAGGAGAAATTATTTTT